AATTTATATTTTTTTTACATACTTTACAAATTTCTTTTTATTCTAGCAAGCGTCCGTGCTTGCGTGCAATTTTACACGTTTTCTAGATTTTCTAGAAACGCACGGGAATGGCTCGACCATGAAAAGCTCCAACTCGGTTTACCTGCTCGCACATTGAATAATGCGGAGTTTCTGTACATAACAAAAACGCGTAGAGACAAATGTCGAACACGAACCCGAGACGTGCTCCGTAATTCCATTCAAATTGAAAAGCACCGAGTGCCGAGTTCGTTAGGAAGAGCATACGCGCGGATCCGGTCATTCCTTCCGGCGTAGCAATCTCTAAACCAGAACATCACTGTTCCGGAGGCGTCGGTGGTTTTCAATTAGGGTACAGCCAAGGGAAGGTACCTTGCTGGTGGGCGTCAGTCACGTATTTGACGATCAATTAACAGAACGCCGCGTATACAATGCGAGAGAAAAAAAGAAAGAAAGAAAGAGAAAAAGAGAGAGTGAGGGACATATAAGGTTTCAGTTTCCCAAACAAATAATTAACAGCCGCGTGCGCGCGATAAATAATTCGGGCTGAAAATTCGTCGAATTTCGCTTCGATTAATATTTATAATGCAAATGCATTGTAATGGCGCGCGTTCCGCGTACGTTGCCCGCTTATCCCGCGATATCTTCGTGTAATTAATTCGCTTGGCAAACCGCACGGCACTAATTAATCAAAAATCCTTCTTTTTCTAACTGTTGCAGGTAAGAGCGCTTTGATGTTTCTCCTGCGCGAGCGCGAGTCGTTCACGGTGGTGCCGGTAAGTGTTGATTCTCCCGCGGCCGCGCTCCATCCATGACGATGTACATCTTGTTCCTCGTAATTAGAAACGCCTTGGCACTCGGGTATTTTCCTATCAACCGCGTGCCAAGCAAACCGTCGCGCTTTGCGCAGGAAACGATCGCGTTTCGCGCTGCAATTTTACGCCTCGTGTCTCGATCGCCCGGGATATAAGCAATCCCCCCTCCGACGTTTCGTTGCTCAGATTGTTAGCAGGAATTTCTTTCGACGGTCTTTCGCTTCCAATGATTCTGACTCGTGTCTTCGATTATGTACGTAACGTTTGTTACTGGTCTTTTAATACAATGGCAAGAAACACGTCTTTTGTAGCATGAGGCGATAGTTCGAAGATGAATCCTCTTTATTTCTTTCTGAAAGTATAAGAGTTTGTTGACAATGTGTGTTAGTTTGTCATACCTTAGAAACAGCCACTGTTTTTGGTAAAAACAGTTAAATATATCTGTTTATCTTCGTTGAAAAGTCAGCTTATGAACAATTGTATTTGCTAAAGAACTTACATCGTTCAAAATAACAGTACAACAGTCGTAAAGCTTCTCCAAAAAAAAAAGTAATTTCATAAATAGGAAGAGTTTTCGTAGTTTTGATATGCCATTCGAAATAATTAATTACCACAAATTAACACACATATATACAAATATATACAAATAATACCATATTAAAAACTCACTACAAATTCTTCAATGTACTCTATCGATGTTAATTTCAAAACTATACTTCCATATACTTCTCCCCAAAAATTTACTCCAAACCCTAACCCTTTGCAACTCTCCAACACAGACCTTCACCAACTTTACCTTCTCAATATTACGTTCCAGAAAGTATAAGAGTTTCTTGACAATGTGTGTTAGTTTGTCACACCTTAAAAATAGCCATCGTTTTTGGTAAAAACAGTTAAATATATCTGTTTATCTTTGTTGAAAAGTCAGTAGCTTAAGAACAATTGTATTTGTTGCTAAAGAAATGGTAACGTGCATCGTTCAAAATAACGATACAACAGTCGTAAAGCTTCTTCAAAAAAAAAAAGTAATTTCATAAATAGGAAGAGTTTTCGTAGATTTGATATGCCATTCGAAATAATTAATTACCACAAATTAACACACATATACACAAATATATACAAAAAATACCATATTAAAAACTCACTACAAATTCTTCAATGTACTCTATCGATGTTAAGTTCAAAACTATACTTCCATATACTTCTCCCCAAAAATTTACTCCAAACCCTAACCCTTTGCAACCCTCCAACACAGACCTTCACCAACTTTACCTTCTCAATATTACGTCCCAGAATTATAAGCTTCCATTCCATCAACTCAACACGCAGGTGAATCGAGCGTGGTGTTGCCATCGACACGCTCGCCTATTTATATCATTTCTTGCCTGGCAGAGCGTTACAGATAGATATAGAGGCCACGGCGAGTACGCGTTCCACGTTCTCTCTTTCTCTTTCTCCTCCCCTCTCTCTTTGTCCACGATACGACAACGGCGTTCGATAACTTCACGATGGCCGCGGAAAGATCGGCGGCCAGATCCGTCGACACGGATCGAGCACGGATTTTCTGTGATTTTCCGCGCGCGGTCCTCCGCCCGCTCGTCGTAGGCCGTGCACGTCCCGCCGAGGTTCGAGAGACTCGCATTCAATTCGATTCGCGTACGCCGGCTCTCGTGGCACGTGGTGCATCGCGCGATCACTCGTCACTGCGAGATGGGATCGAGTGTTGCCTTACAAGCGAGTTCGAATTTTTGGTCGTTAGATTCTGAGTATTTCCAATGGTACTGGCAAGTTTTCTGGGTGGTATGGTACTTTCGGAAATGAGAATATACGCAGTTTTCAAGTATATTCTTCATTATTGTTTTTTTCATTTTACTAAAATCCTGTAGCAGACACTAGAAGCGATTCTGCCCCGATTTCCAAGATTCGAGCGAACCGTTGAACTCGAACTTGTTTTCAATATCGTTGCGTGTTCGCTTGTATTTATTTCAAGGTAAATTGGGTAAATTAATGTACGATGAATAAATTTAATGTTTCTTACTAATTTATTGTTATTATTTAATTACTTACTCACTTGTTATTATATAATTTATTTTTTTATAACTTTTTAAAGTATGATAGCTTTCAAAACAATTTCCAAAGTGTCATATGAAGGTTCTTTTTATAGCAAATTTGTATCGCCATGTCCAGCGTAGTATACGAGTTCAAAGTGTTAAAGTTTCGAAAATTACAATTACGTTTCCGAAACCTGGAGATAGCCTCCTCATCCTGCGGTTTGGAAACGATGAACTGTATAAAACGAATACATGGCACGTGCGCTGATTGAAGTATTCTTGAGAATTAGGTGTAGCTTTTGAAATTTAAGGAAAGTACAGTTAGATATTTCGATATCGAACTCGTCTCGGATTTGTAGGCGCGTATTGGACTAGATCCCATCCCTACTCGTCACTCGGCAACTCCACGCGCCGCTTTCCCATTTCGAATCGCTCGTTTCGAATTGTATATTCACCGAGTATACTCGCGGAGCCTCGTTTTCGATGGAGTGACACGCTGGTTTTTTCGAAATAGGTGGCAGCAATATTTTACGAAGCCGGACTGGCTGGAATTGCCAGCTTTTTTTTTTTGAGAGCACGATAGTGTGGGATGAGCTCTAGAAGGGGAAACGATTATGTGGGTGGAGCGATGGAAAGTCGGTGTTTTCTATTTTTCCACCGATATGAATTTGAACAGCCGGAGATAACGTCTATAGTGGACGAAGCGAATGAAAGATGAAATTGATACGGGCGGGAATATCGAAGTAAATTAATCGATTAACCTTCGCGTTTCAGCCGACCTGTTTCACTGAAACATTCTACTCAAACCGATCGATCAGTTTCGATTTGCGTGCAAACAACATACAATAGGAGAGCATACGTCGCGAAAAGAATTGCACGCTCACGAAGCGTGCAAGAAATATTTTTCTACAATGTTTGACGTTATTACGTGTAATTAGCATACTTGACAATAGGGTCAATCAGATATACATATATGCTAAGACTCTGAATTTATAATAATCAAAAGATTGAGCTTTTTTTTTTTCGAACAGATGGACATATATGTAACTTGATTTTATTTGTTGTTTCATAATTTGGTGAAGAAGCAAAAAAAAACATCTCTTTGACAATTATTTGTGTCGCATTTCGACTTCAAAATGGAAAAAAAAAAACGCTGTGCAAGTTCATCAAATATTATCTAACGAAGTAGCCTTTAAAATTGCGGTAGTGTCAGAATTGCTTTGCTAAATTTCAGTACTGACGATGATATCAAATCATTCCTGTAATTGTCTTTTGTCGAAAAAGATAAGAGCTTTACATAATCGAACAAAATGGACAAAGCTTTTGTTTCTCGTAAAAAGTTCGCGCTTTCATTTGCGCACAAAGAAAAGCAATTTTGGCCAATAATAATTAATATGCTGCAGTTTCTCAAGTTCACATAAAAATAAGTACGTGATTTTCCATACATATCTCTCTTCGACAATTTCTAAAAATTGAACAGAAAAACAGTCCAACGCAGGAAGAAAAGTTCGAAACGTTAGCCATCCTCGTCGGACGTCGATCGTTCATTTCCTAAGCGTTCCGTTCGCGTCCGTTCGGACCGTCCAATTTATTTTCACTCGTCCGACTGGTGAGCGAATACGGGTGGCGAATCGTCGAATACGGGGCGATCAAATGTTATCGAGCGTACGCCCTCCCTTTGTTGACGTAGAAAGAAGCACGGCGTACAAGTGACAGCGCTTCGCAACCCTCGATCCTCTGCAACCGAATCGAGGGAGCGAAGCGTAGCCGAACGAGCGAGTGAAAAGCAGCGGCGGCGGCGGCGGCGGCGGCGGCGGCGGTAACGACTCGTCGGGAGAGAACAGAGGAGATTCTCTCTGTTCGCGGGAGAAAGTGCACGGCGGACAAGGAAGGCGTGCGAGGAGGCGAAAGAGAGGAGAAAGAGAGCAAGGAAGCGTGACGGAGACAAAGAGAAAAGGAAGAGGGAGGGCTGGATATACGCAACCACCGTCGTGTTGGATCACGGGGGCGTAAAGAGAGGAACGAGCGAAGGAGAGCGGAGAACGCGGGTGTACAAGGGGATAGAAGAGAGAGAGAGAGAGAGAGAGAGAGGGAGAGGGAGAGACGAGGAGCGCGTCAGCTTAACGCATGTGCACAGGGCGCCTCGCGTCGCGGCGCTCTGGTCCCGCCGGTCGGAGGCTGCGAAACCGAGCGGCCGGAATTCGCGGACCAGAGTGGTCGCATCTCTCGGTTCAGATATACACGCGCGGCGCAAGGTACCCCAGGGTCCGCGGTTTTCCATGAAAATCGAGGAACGCGCGGCCAAACCGACGCTGGCCAACGGAACAGTACCAGCCGAGTCGCGCGCCGATCGTCGACGGAATAATGCCGCCGCGAGCATCGTTCTGCCATCGGTGACGAACGACGACCGTTGTAAACGACACGCATCACGATCGTCTCGCGACCACGGTGTGCACGTGCTACGACATGACCACCCAAACGGGAAGCTGCCGCTGAGTCCAGCCAGTCGCTGGTGCGTCCAGAGTTTCGCAGAGAGAGGAAGCGCGTCCAGTTAACAGAACGACGATAGAAAACGGAAAGAGTTACGGATACTACGGCTGGCCACTTTAAACTGTCCACACCACCGCGACGGCGGTCACACAAGCGGTGTACGCGTTGTCTATCAATTGGCGAAAAGAGGAAGTGGTAGTCGACCGGCGGATGTTGCTCTCTCGTAAAGCTTGGCGCGTTCGCTCAGCAGCTCCGTTCACCGGAGAATCGACCACGGATGACAATCGAATGAACCGGCCAGGTTCATGACTCGCTAAGGCAATCGCTCGCTTATTTTTTATTGTTATTCATCGGCATACGGGTTGGCTGTGTGACTGGCACTCGTGATACGGCGAAACTCGCGTTTGTAAAATTTCATGCGAAACTTTCGGCCAAATGAGTAGCCAGAGAGAGTGTTCTTTTTTGCAGAAGTGTTGAGAACGGTAAAGGACGCGAAGAAACGCTCTGAGAGGTGACGCGCGTCATTTGAGAATATCTACGGTTCCGATCGCGGATCCTGCGAAAGAGAGAGAGAGAGAGAGAGAGAGAGAGAGAAAGAAAAAAACGGTGAAAAAAGGAAAGAGGCTCGTGCGAGAGAAGGGTGATGGTGATTGGACTCGAATGGTCGCTTCGCCTCGTAGAGAAGAGTAAGTTTCCGCGAAGGACAGATGTTTGGTGGACGGTGTCGGGTGGTTTGCATTCGAGGCCAAGTAATTCGGTGCTGGCTGGCTCGGTGACTGTACGCGTTCACGCTTGGTCTGTCAGGACCACGAGCACGAGCACGAGCACGAGCACAAGCTCGAGCACAAGCACGAGTAAGAGCAAGAGCAAGAACGCCACGGGATTGTTTGAGGAGGTGCCAGTGCGTGGAGGGAAGAAGCAGCCACGACGGAGCCCAGCGCCGGGGCACGGACAACAAGGCCCCCGGTGCAGGGAAGAAGCCAGGCAGAAGGGGAAACCGGGGCCAGCGTAGCAGCAACGGCCCTGAAACTACAGGGGAACCTAGCTACCCCCTTGCACAGGGGGGAAACCAGGAGGAGACCTCGCCGACGGAGGCGACGGAAAAAGAAGCGACGGAGGTGAGCGCGTTCACTCCCATTCTTCGTCATTCTACGGCTCGACTACGTATCCTCTCCCTTTCGTTTCTTCACTTCTCCTTCTTTTTCTTCTCTCTTCGTCGACTCTTGCCAACTGTTTTGTTTTTGTCTGCTCATTGGATGGACGTTGTCGAAACTGCGTGCTTGACACGTAGAAATCGAGCTGGCGATGCCGTATGTATGTATTTGGAAACGAATGAGATTTCGCGGGACTCGATTTTCAACGACGAGATTGAGTCGTCGAAATCTCGTTTCTCTCAAACGTAGATTTCAGGATCCGCGAAAGAGCGCGCGTACGCGTCACGTGTACCGGCCGAGGGAAAAAAGACGACCGATGGGAGACCGGTTCTAGCGGCCTCTCTTGAGGAGATATCGAGCGTCTACCGGTAATAAAACGACGCGCGGAATTGCCGTAATAACGCGACCGAGGTCCAGTTCCGCGAGCGTGGTCGCCCGGCTTTTTACAAATTATCCGAAGCGGGGAATGCGACCGGTGTGGTCCTCAGGGGAGAAAAATGCCTGGTGAAATTCCACGGTTGTCCGTCGGGTCGAATCACAACGAGCGTCTCGATTCGTGTTCGTGAAACGCGTGTCCGTTTCTCCTCGGAGGAACATGCCGGACGCGGAATTCGACGCTCGCGACAACAATGAGCGCCGCGCGTCTCGCTAAATATAATTCGCAGTTCTGATTCACGGGGAAACTAATGAATTTGGCTGGCCGTCGCGCGGAATTTATCGTTTCAACCCCGTGTAACTCGGCCGCGCGAAAACCTGCACAGAGCTTACGTTCTTACCTTCTACTGACTTTTCAGGGAAAGCTCCGTTGAATTCTAATCGAGCGTCACTGATGTTTAAACTTTACTTTATTTCGAACTCGAATTCGATACTTCAAAATAATGGAGATAATTGATAATTTGATAATTGTCAATTTTCTTTGGTAGATTGAGAAAGATTGGTCATTGGTTTTGACAATTCAGCATTAAAGCATGAATTTTCTTTTACGAAGTATTCGTTAGCAATAGAGAGCACTGTCAATTGGCTCCGATTTGTTTTTCACGGTGACGATATCGAAAGTTTCCTCTTTTCGGATATTACCAGGGACTCGAACAACTGCGAATTTTCAAATTCAAACGAACTCGTGTCAAAGCTTCAGTCATCGATCCCATTGTTCTTAATTAATATTAAAATGGTGCAAGGAGGAGCGAGTGGCGGGCATAAAATACGAGGAACGGGAGCCGCGTGTCGGGGCGGTTAGAGGGAGAAGCAAGGGGGTGGCACAATCGCGTTTACGTACAACAGGTCATTCGTTGAATAATTTAGCAGAGGGAAATATATCGGGGAGAGAGAGAGAGAGAGTGGCAGGCCTTGAACGTCGCCAAGGAGCGACACGAAATTCGCGTGAACATCGACCGCGACAGCATCGACTGCCCGGAACGTTATGATAAAATGCGCGACGTGCGCGGAGATAACGTGACGTTTAAATTAACGCCGGCCCGGCAACAAGCGACACGCTTCGAATGTCACATTACGATAGCCTCGGTAACGGTTGATCAATGCTCCCGCCAAAATTCGTTACCGAATTCCCGCTTATTCATCAAAATTCCCCGCTCGTATCGATGAAACGTTCGTACCTCGACGAAGTTATCTGATTTTTCCCTCTCCCCCTCAGTCGCTTTCTTTTTCCTTTTATTTATATCAGTTGTTTTTTTTTTCTCCTCTTCCCGATTTTCGTTTCCCGGGGGTGTCTTCCGCCGGCACGTCCGCCCCGATGAAATCGAAATCCGCTCTCCATCCCGCTCCCCTCTCCGTAAAAATAAACGAACGTGGTCGCGCTAAGCGAATCGAGGAACGAATAAATTGCACAGGTAGCGGGAATCGAAGTCGCTGAAAGATTAATCGTTATTGGCGCGGGTGCGTCTCTGCCTCGTAACACGTGGCTGCTGCGCCTCCCTGTTTGGGCCTGTGTTAACGCGCTTACGATCTTCTCGAAAAATCCAGGAAGTCTGAGAATCTACGCAACGGAGACGTATAAATGTCGAGACTCCTTGTCTCGCCGTCTTAATTGCAAAATTATGTCCTTCTTGGCAGACGAATTTTTTCTCTCGCCGTCGATATTGTTTTTGTCGTACTTCGGCGATTAGTGTCGCAAGATTACTTGGAAATAAGTTGAGCATTTGGCTGGCTCCTTTCACGTTCCCCGACGCAAGTGCATGAATTACGCAATTTTCATTCCTCCTGTACAATTAGCGATGGTGTGGATCGCCAACTTCTTCCCACGTTCCTTTCTCGTACCGCCTTTCACGTGACAGGCGTCGCGGAAAATAGGTATGTACATACCGATTCGTTTGCTAAAGGTGGGCATCGTTTCAACGAAAACGTAAGTCAGTTTTTTAAAATAACGAAATGACAAGTAGAAATAAATGGCTATCAATTTGTTGAAACGGAACATACTCTGAGGTTGATTTAACCGTGTTCATAACGAAAAATCTGTCGCACTATTACACATCACGCGCAACACGAATGTTACAAATTTCAGTCTCATTCGTCAACTCTAAAATCTAATCTGTGAGTATCCAACTACTTTCTGCAATACTTAAACACAGTTTTGAATCCTCAGGAGTAACGTTTCTGCATCATCAAAAACCTGCACCAAGTTATTTACCCGTTAAGCTAAAAATAACACTAAATTTCGTGATTGTACGTACAAAATCAACAGTACGTGATCGTTTACAGTAACTATTTAACAAACAGTTATAAAAAAATAACATAAAACTTGAAATTATTAATCCGAGGAGCTAAAAACAAAAGAACCATCCTCATTGATCGTTTACAGCGACCATTTAAAAACAGTTAACAACTGTTCGTAACTTTTTAATTGTTGAGGAGTTAAGAATTAAAAAAAAAAGAAAAAAAAAAAAAAGAAAAAAACAAAAGGAAACGATCGAAATCGTGGAAAAAAAGGAAGTGGGAAAGAAATTTTCTCAGCTGCGTGCGCGCGTTTTCCCAGCCGTCGTCCATCGAGGACTTAACGACGACGCAGGAATTACGGTTTCTTCGAAAAGTGCGGGCGCACACACGTTCGATCGTCCGCGTGACGGGCCGTGTGCCACGACCGTTCGGTAACTCGCTAACCGCTCTTAATTGTAATTGTTCGGCGCGGTGGCTTGCAGGTTGGGGCCGTGGGGTCCGCGTAAAAACAGAGATTCCAGCGTTAGCTGCAATTCGTCCGGGCACGGTTCTTGCCTGTGTCGCGACGCGGCCGCTCGACAACGCGTCACAATCCCGTTTTTCTTCCGGCACGTCAACAAATTTCATCGACGTGCCGATCGGATGCCGGAGGGCCTCGCTGCTCGACCGCCGCCGCTGCCGCCGCGCGTGGTACCGGCTTCCCAGGAAGCATTCCTCCGGCTCGTTTGTCCACGAGCCTAGATCGCTTACCTAGATAATGGCTAATGGCTAATGGCCGGTCATTTTGATTAAATGCCGATAATTGCCCGCTCGAGTGCAGGAGAGCCGCGTGATCGTTGTGCGTTCGCGCTCTCGCGAGATGAAATCGATCTGCACCGTGTGGAAAAACCGGTGGAATCGAGCGTTTCCTTTCAGGTACGGCTTCTCGGACCTTGGCTGACGTTCGACGTCCTTCCGTGCGTTTTGAATGCAAGTGGAAGTATGGAATCTATTTATAGGAACTTGTGTTAGAGTACTTACGTGGTTTTTTTTTTGAAGTTTCTTTTTTTTTTTTTTTTTTTTTTTTTTTTGAACGAGTCGCTGATTTATACTCGCGACGGATGGAATATGAACCACACGGTTTTGTTTCATCGTGTAGAAATTGTAGAACAAGTCTAGTTGGTTATTGGTGTATTCAAAGATTACAGTCTTCTTTTCATAAAAAAAATGATTATGTGATTCTTCTTTCGATGGCCAGTTTCGCACTTCAAAAAGTCTGAAATTCTTGTCATATTTTCTAGTATACCGTAAATCGGAAAGTAATAGATCATGCAAACGATGTCTTGCTATAATTCAGTTCAGGTTGAAGAAGAATTCAAAGAAATATTTTCAACAATAGATTTAGTGCCTCCAGTATTTTAAAAGCTCGAAAAAATTTCACATTCGAAAGCACAAAAGTTTGCTACTAAGATTCAATTCGACAATGAATTTATAACACGTTCGAGTTAGCAACAGTCTCTCCGATTTACTTAAAGTACCTACTATCAATCTCATCCGTACCTCGCCCGAATCTCAACGCTTCCGTTTGTGTTCTCAAGCGTGTTCGTCTTCTCGAAGCGTCAGGAGCGTTCGCCATTTCGACACCTCTCGAGCTGCGTGATGCTCGTTTCGAAAAAAAGAAAAAAAAAAAACAGAAAAAAAAACTGAAATACTCCATGCTGGTTCTTGGAGGAAAAAGACCGAGTCTGGGCGCGGCTCGCGCGGAATTCTTAGTCCGAAAGGCCACGATGCTGGTTGGCTGAGGTTCCCCTCGTTCGTATTACGGCCCTTCCGTTCGTGACAGTGCGGCAACGGGGGGTGGGGGAGGGTTGTGAAGGCAGGAAATGAAGGGAATGGACGGGGGGTGATAGGAAAATTTGATGGAGGGTGGCTGTCGGGAAGGGGAACGGTATACACTAAAAGAGAGAGTGAGAGAGAACGAAAGGGAGAGAGGGAACGAGCCGATCAAGGGGAAATAGGAGGAACAGAGGGCTATCAATGACGCGTTAGACCACGTCACGTCGTGCAACACATCTGCTGCCGTGTGCCGTCATATATATTATCTTGACGATACGTCAGTTCGACCGCTGATCATTATACTGATTACCTTGGCACGCAAACTGTCCCGCATGTGCGCTAGTTCTCATGATTCGGTTATTAATAAGCGCGGTTTGGATTTCGGTGAAGGGCCGAGGACGTTCCACGGAAAGAGGAAAATCGTTGTGAACGAGGAGGCTCTCCTTGGTAGGATTAATGTTCCTCTTTCGGGGGTTGTG